AAAAAAATCCTCATTTTAAAACACCAATAATTACTGGTCATTAGTAGATGGAAGTCTAGCCAGGCTCAGGTAAGTGGTACTAAAGTATATATATTTAAAACTAAATATTCATATTTATCACTTATCTTGGAATAAACTACACAAGATATGTAAGCCTTATCAATAAAATAATGTCAGGAGAAAATTCTCTTCTTAGATCTGATTAGGGCATCTTTGATTTCCTTATTTCTCAGGCTATAGATCAATGGGTTTAGCAGGGGAATCACCAAAGTGTATATAACCGAAGCTAGCTTGCTTTCGCTAAGAGAATCATCAGAACTGGGGCATAAATACACAAAAGAGCTTGAGCCATAGAAAAAAGTCACTGATGTCAGGTGAGAAGCACAGGTGTTGAAAGCCTTGGACCTGCCTTCTGCTGAGCTCATCTTCAGAATGGTGGCAACGATATAACCATAGGATACCATGATAACTAAGACAGAGGTCAGTGCATAGATCACTGTCATCACAGAAGTTATAACTTGTAAGAAAAATGTGTCAGAACAAGATAAGTTCAGTAGTTGGGGCAGGTCACAGAAGAAATGGTTAATGACATTGGGCCCACAGAATTGAAGCTGAAGTAAGCCACACAGTTGGATAAATGAGCCAAAGGATCCAGTTATGCAAGAGCCTATGAAGAGCTGTAGACAGAGAGTCGGGGACATGATGGCTGTGTAAAGAAGAGGACTACAAATGGCAGCGTATCGACCATAAGCCATGGACACTAGAAGACAGCTCTCAGTCAGACCAAAGCTAGAGAAGAAGAAGTACTGCACAGCACACCCCACAAAGGAGATGACTTTCTGCTCCTGGAAGAAGTCTGAGAGCATCTTGGGGATTGTGGAGGATACATAGCATATGTCTAAGAAGGCAAGTTTATTGAGGAAGTAGTACATGGGTGTGTGCAGATGGGCATCCATCTTGATCAGAGTGATCAGACCCAGGTTCCAGAATACTGTCATGAGGTAGATCCCTAGGAATGTTGAAAAGAGGATGACTCTGAGCTTTGGCAAGTCAGAGAATCCCAAGAGGATGAACTTGGTAACTGTAGTTCTGTTCCTTACTTCAGTTATTGTCATTGTACTTCTGAGACCTTCAAGGGGAAAAAAAATTCTTGTTATCTCAGTATTCCCAGTCGATTGAAAGCAAGTAGAACATGTTATCCTGTTACTGAGTCCTCCAGGTTACAAACATAAGAAGTTGCTCAAAAATTTTTATATATTAATTTTGGGGAAATGTGTTATTAAAGTATTACCTAGATATAAAAAATAATATATATAGCAGTATACAGTTCGACCAACATTGTGACTTGAAATAATATTGTGTATTAAATATTTGTTGCTGATATTGTTAGTAGCTGTGGAGTTGCCGCTGCCTCTGGAGCCCTTGTCTATAAAAGAACAAAGTGTTTTGCATAATTTCTATGATCATTAATGAGTGTAAGCACATTGTTGCAGATGTTGTGTCAATCTACCTCCTTGAGGGTCTTCTCATTCTCACTGACTTTCTGTCATTTTTCACTTACCCACTATGTTACCAAACTTGACATTCTCTTTTATCGCTTGAACTTGCTTGATGATGTGTCCAAGGTAAGAAATAAGTCTTACCATCCTTGCTTCTAGGAACAATTTAATTGTATTACTTCTAGAATTTATTTGCTCATTCTTCTTGAAGTCTGTGGTATTTTCAAGTCTTTTTTCCGAAACAATTCAAATGCATAAGTTTATCTTATTTTTTATGGTCTTTCACTTGCCTGCACATGACGTGATTGGCAAGACCAGGGGTGGGGCAAGGCAGAACTTAGTCAGCAAAATGACATCTTTATCTTTGGCTTTTTCAAAATTTAAACAGCTCTGTTGCAGCAGATTATGTTAAGTATATACAATATATTAAATATTATACATTACAATATGTCTGGAAAGCCCTGCCCCAATGACAGGGAATGGATTGAGGTGAGAAAAAGCAAGACAATTCTAAAATAAAAAGGAGAAACTAAATAGTTTGTTGAGGTAATGTAGAGGACTAATAACCTTTTCAAAAAATGGAAAATACCAGATAAAATATATTCATAACCTGCTTTGATGTAAAAAATTTTAACCCTAAGAAAAAATAGGATCCAGTGAGGTAGAAGAATATGAATCTGGCTTTTGTATTGAAGACACTTAGCAAACAAAGTGAACCTGGGTATAGATTTTTAGCTTATTGGACTCTGGCACCTAGAATAAAGGCCAAGTCAAGGTGGAAAACCTACAGAAGAGCCCATACAATGTTTGGGCTCTTCATCTCAAAGAATTTCTGGAATTTTTCTGTCTAAAAACCCTAATTTTGAAAGGAGAAGATGAAATTGATTTGAACTTACCACGAAATTTGTTGGAATACCCACTTGACACTATTTTAAATGCCTGGTCCACACAGTTCAATTTTACACTCCTTAGTATGCCTGAAAGAATCCCAAATGGTGATGTAGTTTAAAGAAATCCTGGGTTGAAAGAAGCCAGGATATCTTAACAGTCAGTCCATGGACATATTGTAGCAAATATACTATGAGATAAGGACCTTGTGGCTCATTGCAATGCTCAGCTTGTTCCTGAAGGAGCTCTGTGAAATAGATGACAGCAGAACTATATGATCATAAATAGTGTAGTCACTTCTGTAATTGCTTTACATTCTCTGGGTCAATTCTTCATCCTATTAAAAAATAAAAAAGATAACTAGCCAAAAAAGGCATAAAATTTGGAATTTATGAAACACATGCCTGTCATTTAGGTGACCAGCAAATATAGGAAGAAATGAAAGCAATCATTAGTCAGTAGAGTGATGCAAATCCACACAGCAATAAGATAGCTTCCCACCCCAGCAGTAATAGCAGTGATTAGTAAAACAGAAAACCAAGAAATGTTGACATTAGTGTGGGGAAGAATTGTAAATTGGTACAACCACTGTGGAAAATGGTATAGTGCTACCTGGAAACATAACAAATAGAGACCATGTGATCCATTCACCCCACTATTAAATATATATCCTTCATAATTAAGTGCTGTAACACAAATAGATACATGCACACCCATGTTCATCACAGCACTATTCACAATAACAAGAAGATGGAGACAATCTAAGTGCCCAACATGTGATGAACTGATAAACTGTGATACATGCGCAATGAGAGAGTACACATTATGGAATAACCATGAGTTTCATAACATAGATGGACCTGGAAGACATTATGCTGGGTAACATTATAGTCACAAATGGACAAATGGACACATTACAAAATGTCAGGAAAAGAAGCAGAAGAATCAGTTGGTGCATGGCTACCACTACTGGCCATTCCTATTGAGAACACGGTACAAGGTTCTGGACAGAGTAGGAGGAAACGAAAATTGCAAATAAAAAGAGCAGACTTCCTGGTTTAATAGAGACTAATGAAACCCCAGAGGCTATGGCCTTTAGGCAACCTTCAAACCTGGAACTGAACCTGGAGATCACCTTTCAGCTAACCAAGAAAGTGGACAATAATATCTCCGAGAAAGATATTCCGCAGAACAATCAAACATTTGAGACCATATGGACAGCATGGTCCAAAACAAAGCTCTAAGACAACATGAATCAGGAAAGGAGAAAAAAATAAAAATGAAGAATCCAGAGGGAAAGTGAGAAAAGTGCAGTTGCATACAGGAGATTGCAACGAATTCCATGCGGGAAAATATGTGTAACTACCAAACTCTGTAATCTTTCACCCAAAACACAGTAGCACGTTCAAAAACACAAACAATGAAAACACTCTTTCTGAAGAAGTCCAGGGTATGAAACGGAATTCATAGTGACAGTAGAAAATGCTGTAACTAAACAATAACTCTCTGTTGTGAGGTGTCCTCAAATCAGTTGTCTCAGCATAGAGAGTAAGCACTGGCCAGGTCAGCACCCTCTTCATCATTGCTGTTCAGCCCGTTGTTGCAGTCACTCCTTTTTATTTTACCAAGCATGATGTCCTGTGCCAGGAACTGGTCTATCCTGATGACATCCATGTCTATCCCTCTTTTTCCGTTTATCATGATGTGGTCTAGTAGTCCCATTGTGAGGATTTGTGTTGTCTTTATGGTGAGTTGTAATCCATACTGAAGTCTTGGGTATTCATCAGCTAGTACTTCAGGCCCTCCTGCCTATTAGCAAGCCAGGTGTGTCATCTGCATAGTGCAGGTTCTTAAAGAATCTCCCTCCTGTCCAAGTTATCATTTATCTATTGACTAAATATGGTGAAAAGAAACAACCCTGACACATACCTTTTTTTATTTTAAACCGTGCAACACCCTCTGCTCTCTTCCTGCAGCTGCCTCTTGATCTATGGACAGGTCCCACATCAGTACACTGAAGGGTTCTGAAATTCCCACTCTTTACAATGTTATTTATAATCTGTTATGATCCACACAATAGAATGCCTTTGCATAGTCAGTAAAGCACAAGTAAATGTCTGGCATTTTCTGCTTTCAAACAAGATCCAGCAATATCCTCTTCTGAATCTGGCTTGAATTTCTGGCAGCTCCCTTTCCATGTACTGCTGCAACTGTGGCTGAAATATTTTTAGCGATTTTTATTTGCTTATAATATTAATTATATTGTTTGATAATTTTGGCATTCTTTTAGATTACACATGGAATGGGCACAAATATAGACCTCTTCTAATTGGGACCAGCTAGCTGTGTTCCAAATTTCTTGACATAGATGCATCCATTTTCCAACATTTCAATTGGCATTTGGTCAATACCTGGAGCTGTGTTTTCAATATGTTCAGAGCAGCTTGGACTTTCTCCTTTTGTACCATTGGTTATTGATCTTATATTAACTCTAGAAATAGTTTAATGCTGACCAGTTCTTTTTTGGTAAGTAACTGTATTTTACTTCCATATTTTGATACTTCCTGCATCATTTAATATCTTGTCCATTCAAACTGGCTGCCATTGAGTCAAACCTGACTCATAGCCACGCCATAGGACAATCTAGAACTGTCTCTTCTTTGTTTATAAGACTGCAACCCTTTGGAAGAGTAGAAACCATTATCTTTCACTTGAGGAGTGGTTTGTGGTTTTGAACTGCTGACCTGTGGTTTGCAACTCAATGTGTAACCCACTAAGCCACCATAGAA